ATTAGATAAATTATATGAACTTTCAATTTTTTAAGGTCTGATTTATAGATTTATTAAGAGTTTGGTAATATTTTGATAGATTATTTTGTAAAAATTTTTTTAAAATATAAACAAAATAAATTTGTTTTATAAATAAAGAGCAAAATTTTGTGCTATAACGATATCGATATAGTAATTTTAGATAATCGGATAATAGAGTATCCGTGTTATCTGGTATAATCGGGTATTTGTATTACCCAGTCTAATTGGATAATCGTGTTATCCAGTTTAATCAGGCAACCGGTTAGTAAAAACGGGTGACCTGACAGATCATGAGTTGGTAACACTCTTTCTCAGTACAAAGTCTCTATACCATGTCGATTGTGATTTGCTTTATATTTTCATCATCATTAAATTTTAAGTTTTTTATTTGTGGGTTCAAAAATAATGCAATAAGCCCAGTTTCCTCTAGAACATCCCAATACTCTTGGAGAGAAAGATAACTTGCTGCCTTGACTAGGTCATATAACTCTTCAGTAGCAACAGGCAGCTCTATTGAACAACGATCTTTAAACTGTGGATCATTATATTTTTTATGAATATCCTTTTGAACTTTTTTACGATTTTGTTTTTTTCTTTGTTCTTGTGATACACATAGCAGTTGTCAAAGTTTTTCTGAAATCATAGGTGTTTTATTGTTAAATTCATCAGAATCTTCTTTATTAGTAATTAACTGACTTTGATTATCATTTATTTGTTTCCTGGGTCCAAACAATAAATTGGCATAATTATCTTCAGTTTGCTCATCTGAGGGTGCAAACCTTTTAATAAGCAGCCTTATTGTGGGATAAATAAGATTCAGTGTAGAATAAGTTGAGCCAAAAAATATAGTAGTAGCTTCATAGAATGGCTTTAGCAAGCAGATAAGTTTATCTAACAATTGCCATTTACTATCAGTTAAGTTTACTAATTTCAAATATTCTCTATTAAAGCGGTCGCATCATTCTGATTCAGATGGTAACATAATAACAAAATAATCAATTGCTTTTCATAATTCTTTAAGTCAGATCCAAGCTAAATATAAGGAATTTCACCTTGTTGCTACATCCTCAGTTACTTGATAAATTGTTAGGTATCAGCATTTTTCTTGTATATCTTTAAGATGTTCAGTTTGTTTAGAGCTTTTAGAAAAAAAAAGAATCAGATTTTTTGCTTTTTTAATTAGTCGTATCACAGGTTTAAGACCTTTTAGAATGCTTAATTGAAGCGTATGAGCTGAACAAGCTAACCACACAACATCATCTATTAAACTAACTGCCTTTTTGATGTTAGCACCATTGTCTGTTATGATACAAAAAACTCTTCTATTTAGACCCTATTCGGTAATAATTTGATTAAGCGAATTTTTAATATTTTCAGCAATGTGTGATGAAGGAAGTAGTTGAATTGTTAATAAAACCTCCTTTAATACAAAGGTTGAATCAGCCCAAGTTGCCATTACTCCAATATATTCTTCATTAGTCCTTAAACTCCATAAGTCTGTTGTTAAATTGATGAATCTACTATTTGTATTCACCATGTCAAATAATTGATCATAGCTCCAATCATAAGCTTTTTTTTTTGTATTTATCTTACAGAGAATCTGAAATTCAGGTTCTATAGCATTTAAAAGATAGTGAAAGGCATTACAATGTAAAATATTTAAGAGCTGGCAGTTCTCAAGAACAAATTCGATCAACTCTCTTGTTAGTTTTTCTTGACGGTATTTGGTGATGATATGTATTGCCTTGACAATCGAGCCATCGGTATTTGTTTCATTGGGATGATTTTTATCTATTCGGTGCTTAGACCAAAGGTGGCCAAGCATATTTTCTGTTGATGAGTCATGCACATATTTGACTATTATATTTTTTTCTTTACAGAGTTGGCATACATTAACAAATCCATCTTCTGCTTCTTCCATTTCAAAATAATCCCATGCAATATTATAATTGCTTCTTTTTTTTCGCTTTTTAATTTTTCTTTTCTTGAGGAATTCTTTATCTTGAGATGGTTCCTCATCTCTAAGAGATTCATCATCTATATGTGATTCTTCACCTCTAGGTAATTCATTATAATCTAAAGAGTGCGCATTGTGCGCATCACCATCAAACATGTAATCAGACATAAGATTATTCTCTATTACGGTAAGTTGAGATATTTATTTTAATACTATAATTATAATACATTTGCTAAAAATTATCATTTTAATTTTAAAACAATTGTTCTATAACTATAATTCTCTATTAATACACACTCTTTGGGCTTTGTTTTTGCAATGGTGATGGTAGACGATAATTAGCAGGTAATAGTTAACGAGAAACAGTCTGATAGCTACTTGGTTGTGATTTGTAAGTAACTGAAAAACTACTTGTGGTTGTGATTTGTGGGTGACTGGTGGGAGTGTAGTTGTGACGTGTGGTTGTGACGCATGATTATGAATTGGGGCGACTGATGGATGATAGCTAGTATAGAATAGTTGGTTGATCAATAACGAAATTTTTATAACAGGGTTTAAGAATAAAGTGTACTTCTTGTCATGTTCTTAACAAACAGCAAAAATAGTATATAATGATAAAAAAAAAAAAAAGTTCTTGACAATATAATCACCTTTTTATATATTAATGAATTAAACAATTAATATAATTTTGCATTATTTATTATCTTTATAAATCGAACAATTACAGTACTTTTGCATTATTCATTATCTCTATGCATTATCTACATATATGATTACAGTATTATTACTAAATCTAGCATTAACATTATCATTTGGGCGCTGTTCAATAGAAAAAGGATAAATCTTTTTAAATTTGGTCAAATTGACCAGATTTAAAAAGATTTATCCCTTTTTTATTGAACAGCGCCTATTTATTTAACAGATAACTAGGTTAACTATATATCTGTATATACCCATTTATCAACCGGATATCTGCAAATTGTAAAAAAAACTGGTTATATCAAAATGTGATCCGGTTGGCAATTTTTTTGAGTTGGGTAATCGGTTATATGGTTATTCGAGTGAGAGGTTGGAACCCTAGTGATATCTACTAGTTGCTTGGGTAAGGTGATCAGGGTTGTAAGGTTCATTTGGGTAATTAGATGTGGGTCTGTGGGTAGTTCTGGTTTGTCAGTAGGGTTGATGAGTATGTATTCCTTTGGTAGAGAAAGATTAAAACTGTATTTTTCTTGGATTTCGGCTAGAAATCTTTTTGCTAGAGGTTTGTTAGTAATTGGGTAAGTATAAGTATATTCAGTTTTGATTGTATTGGGTCGAAAGGTTGTGAGGAAGTTGTTAGGATATGAGTGGAAGAGGTGGTTTTGGATCTAGTAGTTGGAAGTAGTTAGATAAAATTTTATCAAAGTTGTATAATTTTTCAAGCTTTCTCTAGTATTCAGACAGGTAGAGAAGTGCAGAGTGCTCAGTAATAAGGAATAGATCTTTGATAGTAGGGTGGAGTTTGATAAGGTTGCTAGGAAGTTCGAGTTGTGCTTCTGCAAAATATTCATCTGGTAATTTTTCAAATCTATATATTTTACGTAGTGCTGCTGTAATTGCACATGTATGGTTTGTTTTTTTTATAGGTAGTTCAAAGGGTAAGTTGGATAAGATATCATCAGAGATTTTCTTAGGTATGTCTGGAAGAGAGTCAAGACACTCTGTATTTATAGTTTGTATAAGTTTTTAGAGGTCTTCAAAACTTGTAGATATATTAATTTTGGCGAAATTGGCACAGTAGTAAATCTTTCATACAATATCATATTTAATGAAATTAATGTTGGTAATGTAATCAGTTGCTAGTTTGATCTTAAATTTTTGCAAGATTTGGTTTCTGTTATTTTTATTGATGAATTGGATATTGTGTTGGCATTTATATTTTTCAAGGGCCATATTGTATAGAGTTTTAAATTCCTTTTGGTAAGAGGGGGTGGTCTGTTTATTACAAGTAAAAGATTTAATGAAGGCTGTGTCAAGGTAGTTGAATTTGACTTGTATTGCTGTAGGTAAGTTTAAACAGGTAGGTTGTCTAGTGGCTTTGTGGCTGAGAAAGGTATATAATTGGGTTGTATCCTCAAGTTTATTGAGTATAGTTTCATTAGTTCAAGTATTTGAGTCAAAGAGTTTGTTTTGGCTTGCCATTGTTTGGGCAACTTGGATGCTCTATAGTGTTGATGGTTCAAAGATGGGGGTTTTCTTGGCAGGTGATTGTGATCAGAGCGCTTGGCTATAGGTACGGGGTGGGTCAGATAGTAGTCAAGCAGTTGGTTTGATGTCTGGAAGTCCTTGAGAGTGGTTCTGGTTTGGTGTGAGGTCCTGATTTTGTACAAGGGCTGGGTGTATTTGGGGTATTGCTTCTGAATTCGGTTTGTTTTGGTTGAGTGGTGGGAATATTTCTATTAAGTCGGGTCTGTTGGTGTGGGACCTGACAGGTTTGGGTTTGTTGTTTTGTTGTTTTGGTTGGGGGTGTCATGTGACCATTGTTGTGTTGTGGATGATTGGCAGATGGGGGTGAGCTGTTCTGCTTACTTTTTCAAGTA